TAGGCAACGGCTCCCGGAGCTCCAAAAGTTGCTTGATAACCACCTGGTCAGCGTTATGAGTGAACAAGTGCCCGGGTGCAATAGGACCCAGCTTGCCAAGTGTATGGCCAACGTGATAGTTAATAGGGTTAACGAGGCTGAAAAGAGTTACAAAACGAAACTGGATCATTTGGCTCTTAAGAATATAGTTATGATTAACCTGGATAATGTTGGTGACACTCCGCTGTCCGTAGTGAAAAAGTTGTATGGCAAGTGCGTGCGACCCCTGATCTACTTTTGATAAGCGAGCTTAGTAGAAGGGACAAGATGATTTATAATGTGCAAATTAAATTATACATCTCGCCTGGATAGTTACAATTTATAAAATTTATTGTTTTGTATCAATTATATCTGTTTTAAATTTTATTTCTGTGTAATTCTTTTTTAAATAACTTTTAAATAAATATTTGAAGCATGTCATTTGAAAGTTGTTGTTTAGTAAGTTTTGTTTTATTACTAAATATTTTCATATATGTGACTCGATTATATGAAACAGCGACAATTATTTCTATGAGTAATATAAGATTAAGATTTTTATAGAACGTGGTGCATTGGTTTACTATGAGACATGCTCCAAATAAGCTTAATCCTATATTACTCATAGAAATAATTGTCCCTCTTTCATATAATGGAGATACATATGTCTAATCAATAAAAAAGTTTTAAACAGGGAATAGCATGTAGAATATGCGGACAAACTTATGATCTCCCGATGTAGTGATGAGTGATAATAACTCACATGTGCTAATTATAGATATTAAAAATAATATTTTAAATAAAAATTCCCATATGTTCCCATGTTAATATTGTAACGTGGCAGGTGGTCTAGCGCGTTGATCTCGACCCGTTGTTAAGCGTCTGAAACGAGCTCTACCTGTAATACCTGCAAATAATACTCACATCTGTATGTCTATGACCATATGCGCACAGTTGGCACCCGTTAGCATGGCCACTCTATCGGCCAACTACACTAGTGATACTTGTGTTTAGTGGGTCTAAGTAGACTTTACACTAATTGTTTCAGTAATAGTTGAACATATTATTAGATAAGACACAATTTGTGTGAAAAAATAACTAAAATTTTTATAAGATAAAACTTAATAGTATACAATGGTTATAAACTTAAGACTTGTGATCACGAATTCAGACAAAATCTTTTAAAATATATAACTCCGGATGAGATATCATAGTGTGTGAGATAAATATGAGTCTTATTTGGGTTATAACTATAAATATTTAATTAATATGCTTTCAAATAAATAAAAGTTATTTATTAAACTGTGAATTATACGTGTAATAGCAGCATATGGATCAACAGGGTCATGATCGGGGTCGGTCAACAGGTCGGTTCTTCGACTTTGAGTCTAACCGAAGAACCAGATCTAGAAATGAGAGACACTTGAGGCCTTCTAACGCTAAACACAATTACACGCAAAACATTATTTTCTATAAAGGCGTGCAATTTTGGAATCAATTGGATATCAGGCTTAGAGAGACTCAACATTTTAATACTTTTAAAACCAAATTAATTTTACTTTTTAAATAATTTTTATTTTATATATATATATTTATAAATTATAAAGAGATTTTGTAAAGAACATCACCTTTTATTAGGTGAATACATGTCTATAAATAAACTGAATTTGAATTTGAATGATTACCACCAGGACCACGCAATAACCGGATAGTGTAATGCATATACAGTAGCGGACCCTTTATATATTTTGAACCTTTTTATTTTTACAAAATTATTTATATTAAACATGCATTTATGTATAATATTTAATAATATGCAAATTGTATTTATACAGTATTTCAAACCTTGTATATTTATTATTACATGGATTAATTTTCCATTTATATTTAATGTTTGTTTTAATTCAATTGAGTTAGAGAGAATATTTTTACTCTTAAGAATTAAATCAAATTAATAATTATTCTCTTAAATTATGGGTAACAATAAAAATAAAATTAAAATTAAAATAACAAAATGACAAAATAAAACAACATATAAAAATCCCAAAAAATTAAAGTTTGCAATGAATTCAATAATATGTCATTAAAAACACAGTAAATACAACACCAGAATTGGTTTTAGCGCTATATAATAGACTACACACAAGAATCTGAATTAAAATCATCCCATATTGTGCCCGATGTTAGTGTAAAAATTTAATATGTTTTCATTTAAAACTAATTACAAATCCATTTATTTTTTCATAAAAACTATCAACTAATAAGTGTTCATCCATATTATAATATTTATTTTTTAAAATAAATCTGTTGGAAATATACAAAACTAGTAAATGAACTCTACTTTCATACCACTGGCCATCATATGAAAGCATTGTTCATTTATTAGCTTTATATATTTCTAACCGAAATTCATTTAATAACTAGATAATACACAATGACGTCATCATGGCTATACATAATAATCGTGTTGGCACTATGGGCCGACACCCATGAGTCGGGTGGCCCTAATCCCGTCCACTCCATGCAAACTGAAATTTGTTTTAAACATATCCAGGACTATTTTATTAAGTACCAAGAAGTGCAAATGATCATTAATCTTTTAATGTCTAACCAACGGCACCGGGAGCTCCAAGATTTGCTTGATCGTGGTCTGGGCCGCTTTATGGGGGAACCATGGTGCAATAAAGCCCAGCTTACCACTTGTATGGCCAACGTGTTAAATGATAGGGTTAACGAGGCTGATAAGGTGCACAATAGGAAAGCGGATGAAAGGGCTATTGATAGAATAGTCAAGTCTGAGCTTGGTAATGTGATCAGAAAGGGTCAGAATGAGTATTATTCCAGAATGAGTAAGATGTATGACAAGTGCGTGAGGCCCCTGTACTACCCTGATGCTAAGGGTAAGCGTGCTTAGTGCTGATAGCCCATGCTGATTTATAATGTCCAAATTAAATTAAACATCTCGCCTGGATAGTAATAATTTATAAAATTAATTTTTTGAATCAATTATATGTATTTTAAATGTTTTTTAAAGTGTAATTACTAAATTAAATAACTTTTAAATAAATAATTGAGACATGTCATTTGAAAATTATTGTTTAGTAAGAGTTTAGTTATATTACTAAATATTTTCATACTGTATGTCTAATCAATAAAAAAGTTTTAGGGATTTAATATTGAATGACATGAGTATATGCCGATAAACTTATGGTCTCCCGAAAAAGTGTCCGGCTATTCGCCTATTATAATGAGTGATAATAACTCACAAAATAGTGTAGAATAATGTGTTATAAATGAATTTAACAATATCTACAACCCATTGGACTAAATCCAGAGTTAACACAAGTGATAACATGTTTAGCACAGGTGTGATTGCACCTTTATACTTTTTTGCCTGAGATACTATAAAGTCACCCTGGTAGTTTCCGGAAGCCTTGAACCACTTACTCCCACTTTGCAAGTTTTCCCAATCAGCCAAGTCTTACACATAATGGTGTCAGAGCTGCTATTTATAATACAAAATGAAATAGACAAGGTAAACTAAAAACAGTTTATTTATTTTATATTTAAAATTAAATTAATTTAAAATAATCGAGGTATAATAGTTATTTTTTATTTTGATGATTTAATCATTAACATTAGATAAACATTAGATAATCTGTGTTAATTTAATTAATATTACAATAAGTTTACCGACTAAACATCAAATTATAAATATATTTGTAATGTAAATGCTGGTTAAATTAAAGCCTTGCTCAAACATTATATTTTATAATAAACAATTTTTAGAACATTATTTTTGAAATGTCTTTTATTATTAATTGTGTTGATTATAGTCTATAATTTATAGACATTAAAAATGACATCATTTATTAAAATCCCCATATTGTCGCATGTTAATATTGCAACGTGGGAGGGTTACGCGTTGGACACCACCCGGAGTTAAGTTGTGAAACAAGTCCTACCAGTAATACCTCCAATTAATTCTCACATCTATATGCCTACGACCTCTTCATCAACCAACTACGCTAGTGTTGCTTGTGTTTAGGGGTTAAGGTATGTTTTACACTTACTTATCAATGACATTTTTATAAGAATACTAATAGCTATAAAAAGTATAACATAGTTTCTATTCATCAGCTTAAGAGGAGGCCAAACCTAAACATCCTAAAGTCAACCTAAAAGCCCCCACTTTTTGTAAAACACACGTATATTTGCGCTCAGGGTGTAGTAGTTGTGTAATATTTCATAGCACTAGTGCACTTCAGTTTTTCAACCAATCCTTGAACTGTAACACAATATTGCATAGAAATGCAGCGCACTATACGCTACTAAAGCTACAATACTGCAATATTAACACAAACCATATGTAGTTTTCTGTAATATTTCTCTGCCATTATTATAACTAAAATGAGTAATTATTGTAAATCTTAATTATATGATTTAAGTTCGCTTAATCTATTAGACATATACGAAACCAGTAAACTCTAACTTCATAGTGAAATTATATTTGGTTCTTGGTTAATGACTACTTTCTAATTCAATGTCCATTAATTGTTGTCAGTATATTAGTTACCAATTTTCAGTTTTTACGAAAACATAGTGTATGTAAAATAAAGGCTTTGGATTAAACTTTGTCTGCAAAAGCTCGACTATAGTGATAATAATGTTGACATCAAGCACTTGACATTATTATCACTGTAGAAACCTTATATTTAGTACACGTTTTAAACAACAATGGATCGAGGAACAAACAAAAATATTTTCAATTTTAATATTTCGTATTTACTTTTATTGATTACTAAATTATTTACGCATAAAACAATCTTATATAAACAGGACAATTTTTAGATCTACATAAATCAACATATTTTTATTACAAAAGTAATTATACAAGTTTTATATATTAAACTAACTGGAAGTTTACCATGAAAACATTTACTATATTATGTATATTTAATATAATCGTTTTGATTAGCTGTCAAATGGTATGCAGAGATGAAAGTAATAACCCCGTGGACTGGTATGTAGTCTACAAACTTCCTAAAGTAGCTCAAGCGGTACATCCTTTGGTCACTGGTTTGGGATACGCATACCTGTCCAGTAAATCCCAATCCGGATGGACTTTGTCTGATCTGGACATTAGTAGTGAAAAATCAATATTTGGCAACACATTGCATTCACTTTATACCGCAAAAATGGACCCTGGTATAAGTTTTATCAATTACACCGACGGACCGCCTACCGGAGCCAATGAGAGTATCACCGCTCACGCCAATGGAGTCATAGCCACAGACGACACCCTCGGCTATTGGCTCATACATAGTATCCCGAAGTTTGCCGCCCAAGAGGTATACATCCCTTGACTTTGACATAAAGTTTTAACAAAATTTTGTTTCATAACCTAATAGTCGGGCCATAAGTACGTATACCCAGAGTCTGGTGAGATCAACGGACAGACAGCTCTGTGCATTACCCTAAATATCACTGAAATGGACAAGGTGCTCACTCAAATGCTGTATATGCAGCCAGATATCTACGCCATGAATATCAGCACCGGTTTGAAAAGTAAATCAAAAACTATCGGCGCGCTAAGCGCTAGGGAATGGAGTTCCGGTGATAAACACGTCGAAACGATCGTAAGCGCCGGTGGCGTACGGTTCACTAGTATAAGCAAAACACCGGACCATCATATTGAACTGTACGCCGAGATCGTGGCGCCTGTACTCAACGTCAGTCTATTGGCCGAGACCTGGGGACAGGGAGTGGACACTCAGTTACCCACGTTGGGGGCCCTCACCCTCAATAATACCGTAGAAAACGTGCAAAACATTAGCGCATCGTATAAGCACTCAAACGTAATGGGCCGGTCTCGCTATCCTAGCAAAACGGGCACCGGTATGCCGAGGGTTGGCGTTGTGTTTGTGGTGATTTTGGTGCCTGGGCTTTGTGTGTGTTGTTGCTGTGTTTTTGTACAAAAGAAAGGGAGATAATTATTCTCGCTTATAATAGTAAGGCTTAATTTTAAAACAATCCCTAGAAATCGGCTATTCACTTTTTAAATTATAATATGTAAGTTTAGCTAAATAATATAAATTAACACCCAGCGCGAATATAATCATTTGGAATGTTTTAATTAATTTTAAATTAATAAACATTACAAAATAAAATATATTGTATCAGAAATCATATTGATAAATTGCTAGTTTTATTTTATAAATTAATATTAAATTTAATATGTATTTTATAAAAAAAATAATCTCTTATTTTTTGTTATTTAATTAATCATAATATTAATAATATAATTGGTATGTAATCTTTGTGCTAATACTTAATTAAATAAACTGCAGCCAGGAACTATATTCTTGATAATTTGACACATAAAAATAAATTCTTGATATAATATTGTATTTTAATTGCAAGCATCGATTATTTCTAAACTTTATGAACTGTTTTTTATTGACACTTAATTATATGATCAATACTTGACTTATATTATCATAACATTTACCTTTATTTACATTATTATTACACAAATTGTTTTAATCAACAGATTATAGCATTTATTTTCAGTGTTTGGTATTTCAACGAATTGACAACTAGTTTATCAACACATACTTATATTATCATAACATTTACCTTTATTTACATTATTATTACACAAATTGTTTTAATCAACAGATTATAGCATTTATTTTCAGTGTTTGGTATTTCAACGAATTGACAACTAGTTTATCAACACAAACAAATCGTAAATAAACGGGACACATTTTCTATAAATAGGCATCATGAATTTTTAATCGTTTTATTAATTATTGTATAATAAATAATCAAGTTTCATAGACTTAACATGAACAATATAAACCCTACGCTTATTATATTATATTATATTTATTAATAATATAATCGCTATAATTAATTGCCAAATGCAATGTAGGGAGGAAAGTGGACAGCCTGTGGACAGACAGACAGTATTACTGAATAGGAACCAGTAGTGCGACCAACTCGAAATTTTAAAATCCAGAATTTGCATGTATATATTTCATAAAATTGCTGGACATTAATTCATAAACTCAAATCGTTATGGGCTAAAAACTGTGTGTAACGCCATTGTACACCCGAGTGTGTATAGGCAATAAATCGGGCCCCCCTAGTTGGCGCCCGTGAATTGGTGCCAGGTGGCTTTTTGACCTATGTTGTTTATGATATTTTGAAAAAGTTTTTAATAAATATGTATTTTATTGTCAATTTTTATTTGTATTTAATTGTGTTAGTAGTATCTAGTATTTATTTATTTATGTGTGTGTGTTGTGTGAGTGAGTGAGTGAGAGAGAGTTATTTTCAATTTTAAACATCATTTAAAATAATAATAAAAATTTATTTTCATTATTAAAATATAATACATATTAAAATCGATTACAAATAAAAAGTTTGATTTAAAATATTTTTTTTTAAAAGTTGAGCAAAGATTCAAATAATTTCACAATATGTGTGTTAAAAATAGCTTTTTAAAAAGTAATATAAAAACATACTAGTATACAATATTTATAAAATAAAAATATTCACAAAACTCGTATAAAAATATTGTACAAAAAAATTAACACAATATCCATGACTTGGACTAAGACTTCAAACCAAATCTCTTAAAATGTTTGGCTTTGGATGAGATATCGTGATGTGTGCCATATATAGGCGCATAAGTCTTATTGGGATTATAACTGCCATAATCCAGATCACTCTTACCCCTTGAGTTATGGTACATATTCTTCGGGAACTCCTTAATCATAAGCTTTAAGTCATTTAATATGAAATTAGTTCCGCCGCTGAGTCCGCAGTAAATCCTCAACTGTTTTACCGCTGTTTTTGGGAAATATATGCATTGAGTTGAGTAGCACTGGTAGTCCATGTAGTCGGCCACCCGTTCCCACTTCACACTATCCGTGGACACCTCAACATAGTATGAATACCCGGTCCGACAGCAGTTCCCAAACTCCAGTTCCATATAATTAGCAAATCTGAGGCAATCCATGTCAAAGGTGACACATCCGGGTATTTTCTGGACCACCGATAGGTTGGGCTCAAACTTATGTGAGTATAGCACAGACTTCTCGACAATAAACTGGGAAATGGATCCCAAATCAAGTACAGGTGCCACACATTTGCGGTAGTTATCGCCGGTTTTGGGTCTGTTGTCGATCGACATCAGTAGCTCTTCTCTGGCGAAAAACCCTTCAAAAAAATATTATTTCATAAGAAATACAGTTTAAAAAAGTTTTTTTGTTAACAAAAACACAAGTCGTTAGCGAAATAAACCTCAGAATTACGTTATAAGTCATATAACAGGCTATTAGTTATCACATAATTCACGATATATTAGGGATTTTCCTCATTGAAAGCACAGGTAGTCTACCAATTATGTCATACCTGAGGGCCAGACGTAGGCAATCATGTCGTTCCAGGAGATCAGGTGTAACCTAACGGTAGACACGAGTTCTTCGGCCACCTCTGCGGTGATCTCGGCATTCATTTGCAGATATTTGATGATAGCGTTGAACACATCCAGCTCTTCGGCGCAGAAGTCATCGCTTGACAGCAATTGGATCAGTGTTTTGGGGCTAAGACTTAGTAGAGATCCGTTGGACAGGAGTTGGTATCCGTTTCCGAGTATGAATTGGTGGCAATTTTCCAGCAGTGGGCTTATGGCGAATAGGGAGGCCGTCTCGTGAATGGCGCACACGTTGTCATTGGTTATGTTGTGACCCAGGTAGTCAGTGACCGCGGTAACTAATTCGTGCATTTCGTAGCGATGACCTGGGTTATGACATTGTTTATAATTAGTTTAATGTATTATTTATATATTATATTGATATGATATTAAGATTTTTATAAATATGTATAAATAGGTTAAGAATATTCTTAAAAATTAAAAAATTCTAAACTAGCAAAAATAATAAATTGTAAACTTCTATGAACCTAGCTAATGGGTGTATAAAATTGACAGTTATTTATAGTAATGTGTACCAGGTGTTTTGTATTAAATACGTTAATATACCAGTACTATTAAATTGAAAATATTATTAAAATACTATAATAAACACAAAAATTAATTAAATATTAAATATAACTATTTTCTATTTACTACAAAAATTATACCTGTACATAACACTATTAGACACAAACATCTGGTAACTATTACCAGGTAAACATAAACTAGCACAAAAACTAACACAATATCACCCAAACATAAAAACATAATAAATAATTACCTAGAAACAAAACATCGATGATATCATCCACTTTCTTATTATTCAAATGAATAACCCCGGTATACATGAAGTAGAGCACCTCCTTAAATGCTGACACCGGAGTCTCCTTGACCACCACCTCATTGCTGACACACTCCCGGAGCCCACTGGCAAACATCAGCCGGAAGTACTCGCACCGTAAGACTAACACAAATTTGTGGGCAAATATCCGCTCCTCCTCTACGATAAACACCACATCACTAGCCGTTGGGCTCATGTATAGCGCCGACAGCTCCCGGAGTAGGGACTCCGACAGGTCTATAATATCCGGGCATTTGTTGGAGTCCATAATATTTGGTGTTAAATAATAGTCTTATGTAAGTATGAAATGGTTTTTCACAATAGTTTAGGCGATAAACCGTTGGCTAATAATTAGCATATGATTAGCGATATATTAATTAGTTTTTTGTGTCGGATGTCAGGACTGGTTAGCGATATAATCGTAACCACAATAGACTTGTCGTGTGTTTTGTATAAAACTTTTTACAAATACTTTTTCACGTAATATGTGAGCATTTTGTTGAGCCAATGGTATGAATGCTAAATACATTTCTCACGTGAAGTCACCTGAAAAATACACATAAATATTATTAATATATTATAATTTCATAGAAATTTATAATTTTCAAAAAAAATCAATTCCTTATGTTTTATAAATAAAATGTTTTTTGTTTTTCATTCATACAAACGGGTAATAAAAGTGACGCATATTTATGAGCGAAATATTTCAAAAACTTTTGTATAGTTTTTATGCAGTTTTCAAGGAATTCATTCATACATTCAATTGAATTTTGTAGACATTTCCTAAAAAGTTTGTTTAAACATCTAATTAAATACAAAAACCATATTTTCTCAATATTTTCAGAAATATTGTAATATGGAAAACAAAGTCATCATAACTTTTTTACCCCTGGTTATAAAACTTGCAATACTTTATATACCACTCACTGGACATAACAAAAAACACACAAACCTTTCATATATGAATACAAATGTCAAACACAAAGGTATGAAAACTATTCTCATATATCTATACATCAATTTCAAATCACAAACAACTCATTCACTACAAGGACTTCAACTAAAAGTAACAAAATAACATCACATATACCCTGATGTAAATCTGGTTTCACATCGCAAAACACCTTTCAATCGTTGACTCCTCTCAAGGATTTCTCTCTCAAAATAATTTTATATATATTTTTATTATGAATTTATATATTGTGTTTGAAAGTCAAGTAGCACTCAGAAAGTTATCATTAGGTAGCTAGCACCAAAATTACATTTGAGATAATTATGCAAATTATGTGATTATCTGTGAATATGACTGCACTTTAAAGGGAAAACTTTGCTATAAATTCATGTATAATTGATTTTATTCAAGTAATTTCATATTATAATAATAGTATTGTAGTAGACTTTGAATATTACCTAGATATCGATTTATTAGGCTATGATATAATTAAGCTGCTTTAATGAATTCACTTAATATTTAATAATTAAACAATAATTAAGTAAATATATCATTAAATATGATTTTCAAAATATTTTAATTGTTTTGTTTGTCTAATGAAAGTATGAAAACATTTAGAAAAGTCGATAAAAAAGTTTTCAAATGTATTAATAAAATCGATAACAAAAATATTTCTAGACTTACATTTACAGTGTTATTGCATTTCATACCATAATAATAATAAATATATCAATAAAATGCATAAAAATGTGATTTCAATGACATTTATAAAAACACCATGTATAGTATATTAAAAACAAATTAAAAACTTTGAAAAATAAATTATAAAAATATCATAAAAAATATTCACTGAATGCAAACATAGAAAGTTTTTATCACTATTTTTCACATCATTTAGCTTTCAATTCAATACAAAAAAAATTTCAACTAAAACAACAAAACCATAAAAATAGTGTCCTTTCTCTCCAACGGCTTTCCCATTAGAAAAGGGTATTTAGAGGACAGGTATTCAATACGAAACAGAGTTCACAAAACCTGTGGTTCACTGGAACTCCTAAAAAGTGAACTGATATTCAGGTTTTGAGTGAAAAATATTAACACAAATTCAGTTTCAATACAAAAACACCACTTGTATTACCACTCCATATAAAAACTCAATACTAAACAAAAATATCTATTTAATAACAAAACACTTAAATATTTTAATTGTATAACACCACTAAAGTACATGGATCCAAAGTCCTATCATATGAAATATATTAATATTCATGATATCAGTGGTACTTACAGTTAGTATCACATGAATGCCATAATAATAATCAATGTTTTTATCATTTAATATGATATTTAAGTCACACTTTCGTCGCAAAAATATACTCAAGACTTGTGTGTATTTCAGCACCAAACCTATGCCACAGTCTATACAACCGCCAGATATTGTGTCCAAAATGAGTGTCTGAATGTGAATGACCTGAACTGCCAGCACAAGTAGCACAACATGTATATACCATAGAGATAAATATGCCCTCCCTTTTCCAAACTTACTTTTCAAACACTCATATCATCGTAAAAAGTGCTAAAAACAGTATATTATTCAACAAAAACGCAAATATTACAAATAAATCTGATGAATTTATAATAAAAATTAAAAACAACAAAATAACCTAGCATAAAAAACAAAAAAAAGTGCTCCCCGGCGGGGAATCGAACCCCGGTCTCCCGCGTGACAGGCGGGGATACTTACCACTATACTACCGAGGACTACGTGATAAGCCACCCTTATATCGGGTATATATTGCTAATGTCATACATGGTGTGAAAAAACTAATTTTTACTTTTATTTATGTTTAAATAAAACTTGATTTTAAATTAAATTATTTTTGCATTAATATTGAAAAACATTAACTGTTTTATCGCTATATATGCGGTGATTGTGTAATGCATTGCTTGACAACAGTATTCAAACTCGTAATGACTTTGAATTATAAATTGATTTTTATTTTTAATTGTTTTAAACTTAACATAAAAACTTAGGCAACCATTAATCCAATTAACATAAAATGTTTTTAATTTTTATATCGTTTTGGCAATTACCTGACACAATTATACGACAAAAAATATTTTATGACATATAATTGTGTTGGAAAATTAAAACAATAAAACTTTTGCATTACTATTGACTTACTTTGCATTGTGTGTCATATATTTAGTCTAAAATTTCCTATAATTAACGCCTTTTAACGGCAAAAACTTATCAAAACTTTTGACAAACTTCTGTATAATAGAGGAAAATAAACAATAAATTTAATAAAAATAACTATAATTTTCACATAAAATAAAAGTAAATCATTTGCTATTGTCTTAAAACTAAACACATTTTAAATTAAGTAATAAATTGAGAAAAAACTTTTAATAAATTATAATTTATTTATTAAACCTAAATAGACACATCATTAAACAAACTTGGTTAGTTTTATCATAAAATTTATTTTATATTTTAAATTTATTTATTTAGTTTATTTTATAACACATAATTATAAAACTTTTTATGAACTGTAACTGAATATCAGAGTAATTTTTATAATCCATAAATACCTTGCCTAAACTATTAATATTAGGTGTATCCCAAATACATTACTATATTAATCACTTGAATGTGATATCTAGTACAATTAATTGTATAGCTATATTATAGCCAACAAACTCTTTGTCTAGTTTCCTGGTCATTTGGGATATATCTTTTTGTTTATGAGCTTACATTTTATATAATTTTCATTATAATTAATAGTCATCAAGGAAGTATTTTTTAAAAATTTACAAAAATAAGGTATGGCTTGAGATTTTAATTACTATTATATTAATCCTGGACATGCAGTTTGATAATTATACCATTTATGTTATAATTATATTATTTTTTACCTACTTATCAAGCAATAATTTAAACTACTTCAATAAATACACCCAAAATATAATCATTTTAATGAAAATGTTTTGTGTTTATTGAGTTATATAATCAATAATATTTCATTAAAAATTAATTAAGTACATTTACTATTATATTTAAAATAAGTTCA